CCATTTTCTCTGTACCATTACTCATTTTATTCTGAAACAGTCCCATGGAGTACTTGTCTCAAAATACTTGAATCCACTTAATAGATGTTGTAATTTTCTGAGATCAGATTTTGCTCTTCATTCAAGTCTGTTGACTAAAACTGAGCATAATGTGGTCTTTCAACATTGGCTTCCAAGGGAGCAGAATTGAGCCTCCATTCCCACTCAAAGGTTTGTTCCAAGCACATTCCAATTCTTCCACTGCCCAATCAAACCAGAAATATTTCAAGAACTGGAAAAAAAAATGTATTTCCACACACATCAGAAATAAAAATAGGAATTTGTGTACAAAGAGCTGTTGTGAGCTACATCCTGGGTCGATTTGCATTTCTTCCATGGAGAAAAACCGTGTTGTACTGTGCACAACATAAATACAGAATTGTGTACACATAAATACATACATACATAAATGCACTGAGAAACTCAGCTACAGATTGAAAACCAAGCCTTGGAAAAACTCAGAAAATAGGAATATGCAGCACACAGCAGCCTGATTTCCGAGTGTCCACAAGTCCACGTTGTACAAGCAGTGCCTTTGGAAGTAGGGCAGTCCTGGAACAAGTTCACTCCCGTGTGCCTGGAGCGCTGCCAGGAGTGGCACCCGTGGTCAAGTAATGTCCTGAGCAATGAATTCCCATGCTTAAGGCCAAATTCTACCCACTGTTCTTGGTGTGGGCATTTCTGTCAAACCTACAGCTGAACCATCACATCTTTTTCCTGTGAAGTGGGTACCTGAAGCAAGTGGAAGCAGCACAGAGCTCATCAAGTGCTGCTGGCACACCCAAGTGCTTTGGAAGAACAGCCTCACATTTTGGAGAGACCTTTCCCTCCTGATGCTCTCAAAGTTCTCAGAGAGAACACAAGTTGGACAAGCTCACACATTTCTAGCTTAAAAGCAAATCAGCTGTGCTGCCACACTCAAAAGTGGTTTTGTCTGGAAAGGTCTCTGACAAAATCTGGAGCTGCCACAACTTAACTCATGTTCACTGAATCCCCGAAGAAATGAGATTCTCACTCTCCAATAACACTCTAACCAGAGCAGTAGGCAACAGGCTTTCCAAAATTCAGATTATTACTCATATCATAACATTTGACATCTTTCTATTGCTGTTGATAGACTCAAGAGATACAAGAAGCCATTTCCAAGCAAATTTTTTAACCTAGGATACAATGTGATGGTGACATCAATGACAACATCCAGAAAATACAAAAAGCACCAATAATTGAGCACCAGGATCATCCTTTCCATTTCCCTGGGTGCAGTTGTTGGCTGGGACTGGGGCTTACCTGGCCTTGCTGTTCTTTTCCACCTGTAGGAAGAATTTCAATGGTCAGTGAGGGAATAAACCAAACACTCGCTGAAGGCTTTACTACCACAGGCTGAGCTGCTCAAGCTGACACCAGGTACTTGTACAAACATGAAATCAGCTAAAAAAATATTTATTTCACATAGCATCCCATCAAACAGCTCTAATGCAACTGCACATCATTTGACTTTATTAGATTCCTTCCCAGCAGCATTAATGCTACCAGTGCTACTGCTGATAAAGACAGAATTATCATTAATACTCCCTATTAATTAGGAGGAACCCGGGTTGGAGCATGCAAAGTGTCACCCACTGCAGGTCAGAGATGATGGATCCACTTTTGTTTCCTGCAGTGGAAAGGAATGTTGCTACCCACTCAGACTCAGCTCAACACAATGAAAAAACAAAATTAAAGTCAACAAAACATCCTTTAGACATCACACTTAGACACTGTCAACACTTCCAGATCAAATCATCCCCCAGATCATCTCAGTACACAAGGGAAAGGAAGTTTCCTATAGCAACGAAAGAAAAGTAACTCAATGTAAGCCAAAAATTATCTCTTTTAATACAAAATTCCATTCTCATAGAACAAATTTATTTCCACTGAATAAATAGATCTGCTCACCATCCATGGGCGAGATTACTGCCTATAGTAAGGATGAAATTCTCTTGCCTTTCTGCAGTTTAATTAAAATATAAACATTATTTGCAACCAGCTTTACTCTATTTGGATACAAGTATGAACACTTGGGACTTTGAGGACATTGCCAAATGTATACAGCACCACTCTCACTGGGGGTTGTACTTTAACCTGATTTATACAGCTCCACGCATCACTTCCATGTAGGCTTATCAATGTAATTATTACAATTATGATAAGAAGGATGTGGCCTTTGCACTTGCATGTTTAATATTCTTAGCACGTGCATGCTCTTCCACTATCTATTAAAAACCCAGCAAAACAAACAAATGAGCAAACCCCAACGGGTCAGAGCTGAAGGCAGCAGTGAGGAAACACAATCTCAACTCAACGGAGGAAATTCCAATGTGTAATATTGGTACTGGTGGCATGGAGGGTGATGCCAGATTTACAGACGTTCGGAGCTGTCCCTCCATCTGCAGACACACACAGCTGCTACCGAGGCTGGGCAAATGACTCTCCATGAGAAAAAGCTCACCATGAGCATCCTGGCTGGAGCTGGAAAGAGCGACATGGTGGGGACAACAAGTATTTGTGGGTTTATCGCTGTCAAAACACATAGTGCGGGGTGAAACCGAGCTGCTCCCCAAGGAAAGAGGACAGGTGGCGGGGAGGGCGACCTTGGGAATGTCCCTTGGCCAGGAGGTGACAAATCCCGGTCCCCTGGGACAGCGGCAGGAGCGCTCCCAGCAGCACTTCTGGAGCTCCTTTGGGGGAATAACCTCAATTCACCGGGATAAACCACCCTGGCCGCTGTTCAGACAGATTATATTGATGGACACACTGGGTATTTGTGGATAAACCTCATTATCTGAAGGACCTCAGGGCAGCGCCCAGGCCACGCGGGTGCCCGGCTCTGGGGGCTGCCCTGGCGGCCCCACCCGGCCCGGGATGAGCCACCCGCAGGGAGAACGGGGGCAGGGAGCGGCTGCAGGCCGGGATGGAACCCAGGATCAAAGCCGGGAAGGGGCCTGGGATCAATGCCGGGATCGGGTCCGGGATCAATCCCGGGATCGGGTCCAGGATTGGGCCCGGCCGCTCCGGCCCCGCCGCCGCCTCAGCGCTGGGGCTGTGGCGCCACCTGGCGGCCGCGTGGGGCCGCGCTCCGCGCCCGGCCCGGGACCCGCGGGGACACGAGAGCGGCGGGAACGAGGGGACAAAGGGACAGCACCGGGAACGAGGGGACAAAGGGACAGCACCGGGAACGAGGGGACACCGCCGGGAACAAGACACCAACGAGGACAAGATACCAACCGGGACCCGCCCGGGCAGGGAAATCCCCCGGTCTTTGGTGTGGCTCCGCTTGCAGCGGGAGCGGCAGAAGCGCGGCGCGGCCGCTGGGATGTTTTGCTTTTTCCCAGATCGCATCCCCCCAATCCAAACTGGGAATGCGGTTTAAATCCCCGCTCCGGAGGGCTGGGAGCTCTCTGAGTGCCCACCCTGCGATGCCTCCCGGTGAAGCAGGCCGGGAAGCAGCGCTCCGGAGGGATGCGCTCCCCATTTTCCCCATATTTTTAACTGTCAGGACGGTGCGGCAGGGATACAGATCGCAAATCGGATTTGTGACAGTCTCGGGTGGTATCTTGGCAAGAGACGCTGTACAGGGATTTTTTTTTTTTTTTTCTCTGTTAACATCACAGTGCATCGAACTGTTATTAATAAAATAGCGTTCAAGGTTATGGGGGGAAGGAAATCTCTGTGGGGGAAGCTGAAGTTTCAGGTTCAAGCTTTGTATTCTTATATATATATATATATATATTTGGGGGTGTATATATATATATATATGCATTTTTTCAAAACGTTTTATTAGGAAAGCTATACCAGACGCATCACTGTACAATGATTAAACATTACCTTTACAATTTATATTCACTTGAAATTACAGAATAAATATATGCACATTGTTGTACCTTTGTGTGTGTGTGCGTGTGTGCGTGTATGGGTGCATGAGAGAAAACATTAAAAATGCTTCCTACAAAGCTGTTAGTGAGAGGTGCCCATTAGCTTTTAATTTT